AAAAAAAAAAAAAAAAAATGCAAAAATGTTTCGGCTTCAGCGGTCAACTGGAAGTTTAAGGTTATTAAATTCAAACAACAGTCATTCCGCTTGTGAGTTACCGCTAAATGAGCTCGAACTAATGAGCATAGCTGCAGAAACGCCGTTGGTACCTGCCAATACTCAACAATTTGCTGACGCTTTTTTTCCTCGGATTCAACCATCTCGGCGTATCGTACATTCACCTTCTGCAGCTCGGATGTTAGTCGCTCGACCTCTTCACTTTCAGTCTTTGATTCCTGTGATGCCAGCTTTGTCTGTAGCGTTTCTCGGAGCAGACGTTCACTTAACAGATCTTGCTGGGCGCGTTCCGCTACTGTTTCGGCTTCTTTTCGAACTGAAACAGACAAAAATTAGAAGAGAAACAATAACTCATGCGTTTTTCACTCAAGCAGAAAAAATTAGGTGGTATGGTGTAGAGCGAAAAAACTGCAAAATGAGAAACATGCAACAACCCACTGATTTCAAGCTTCCGTAACTCAAGTCTGAATACATCAATCTTCTGTTGCAGCTGTGAGATTTCCGATTCTCGTTCTTTCACCAACTTCTCGCAGCGCTTCGACTTGTCACGCTCATCCAGCAGGGCCGTGTTAAGCTGCAAAATTATCAACTGTTCTACTGATAACATCTAAACGATACGCTGACTACAATGGATTTTGTGGCTGCCGCCTGAAGAAACTGTAGCCGCCAGTACGGCTTTATTCGAAAGTGTCAAAATTAACCAGCACATTGAATGTAAACAGCCCTGCTGCGGCGCTAAATATACGCTTTTCATGAGATCTATTCACAAAAAGTACTACCTCATCATAATCCTGCTTTGCCAGATCCCGGTGCTTTACTGCTTCCTTCAGTTCTCTTGTCTGTATCGTCAGTCTTTCAGATGTTTCTTCCAAATCCTAAAAAAAAAAGCTTTTGTAAGCATTAGACGAATGCAGAATCTAGTGGACAAAAAGAAAAACGAGCAGTGAGTTCACGCTCTCTCGTGTTTTTGAGCGGAACATTCAAAGAAGAAACCCGTTGCAAATCCTGTTTATCCAATATCAGTTGCCTGTTCTTCTCTTTCAGTTCTTTTATCTTCTTTTCCAATTCCTCCTGATTCAAATCCTTTGCCGGTCTCAGTGAGGCACTATTTTCCTCTGCCAAACGCTTTTTCAAGATCTGGAACAAACAAATTTAAGCGATAGTAAATACGGCAGGCGCAAAGACTTCAATTTGCCATGGGAAGAGCTTGACTGCTGAGCAAACAACAAACCTGCACTTCATCTTTTAGCTGTGCTATGGTCTGTTCGTATTTGCTCGAATCACTTTCTGTTCCATCGCTACCGGGAGCAGAGCCATGAAAACGCGTCTGGATTAGATGGTTCGCTTCTGCAAAAGATATCTATCTGCGCATTTGCAGTTTCATTAAACGCACCCGTCAAAGCATTTAGAAATTTCATGGGGAGCGAAAACTTTTCAGACAAAAATTTTCTTGGACGGAACAAATTAATTAAAACGTTAACTGTGGAACAGCGAAGGGCTAACGAGGTGGGCGAGGAAAGAGGTAAAATAACTAACAAGTGAGAAAAGCGCAAAAAAAAAAAAATGCTAACCTTGAAATTTTCGAGAAAGTTCCGTTTTTTCCTGCTCAAGTCTTTGAATTCTCCTTTCATACGCCTCGGCTGTCAAGGCTGGCAGCGAATCTGCACTTGAATCTAGGCCCGATAACGACAGACTTTTGCAATCCGATAGTATGCTGGAACACCGATCAAATTTTATCAGTAAAAGGTTTTTTTTTCCTGCCTTCTGGCGTGTAAGTTGTTGAATCATACGTGGGAAAAGCGGACTACTGAATGGCGCTCGTGCAAAGATAAACTAAGATGGACCTACTATAATGCGAATGCAAAGTTGCATAGATGTGGTGAGCTCAGAACAGAAGAAAATAAAAACGATGCAAGCTGCAGCGGCGGTAAGCGAGCTAATCAAATCAATGGAACTGCAGCTGATCAAATTAACAAAGTAACAAAATCATGTGATCTTCGCAACAACAGCCTTTGAATGGACGAAAAAATACCTGTCGTGAGTGTAAGTAAATCCGATGAACGGCAAATGATGTCCAGTAAAAGGAGCCGTAACATTTGGTGGTTTCGTGTCCTGAAAAGTGACAAAACGGCTCAAAGATTCTGATAACTTACTGAAACAACAAAAACTTCGCAATTTCCGCGAAGCAATCAGAATTTCGTGAGAAGATATGCACTTCGACAGAGCATTGACGAAAACAAAACTTACGCAGGGAGTAAAATCAGGTGAGCAGGCTTCAACGTCGAAATTCGATGTATCCGTTGGGCTTGAAACTTCTGGACGGTATGGTGTGTCCACTAAAAATATTTTCGACTTAGAAAATTCGGGCAAGAAAAAAAAAAAAACAATTTCAGAAGTCCGGTGAGGAGTGCATGCCTATCGTAGCTTGCAAATTCAATCATTTATTAAATTTTGAAAATCCAAGCAAACCTACTTTCACGAACTGCTTCCCAGTTGATACCGTCAAAAAATGGATGCGATGCAAAATCAATGAAGCCATTTTGCCCAAGGCGTGTCTCCCTGGGACAAATTAAACGCTTCATTAGGTCTTTTGCCTCTTCCGAAATGTCGATGTCGTCTGGGAAGTCCAGCATTTCCTGCAACGAAAAACAAAATTATTTCGAAATGCGTAAGCAAGTAGATATGAAATTGATCCAATAAGAACTCGCTGTAAATTTCTACAGTCAAGTACCAAGCGTGGCACTTTCTTACACCAAATCGCATGCCTTCAAGCAACAGCCTTCACTATCAAAAGAAAAAGATACATTTTGCAAATGAAAAATTCTCCAGCGATTAATTAATGAATTTTCCGAGTTTTTCCACACGTCTAATAGCAGTCGTGCCACATTCATGCCTTCTTACCAGTATAATTATCTCACAAATTTTCTAATTTTCACTTCCTTTTTTTTTCTTTCTTCTTTTTATTGTATTCCTTATTATAACTTTCTGTTTAGTCTGTAAATTGGCACTTGTTCGTGTCATGGAATCAAAATCACCACAAGCATACTTAAAAGTAACTTTCGAAAATACTACCAAATTGGCAACGTGGCCAGCAAGGAACTAGTGTTGGCGCGTGCAACCAACCGGGTCACTCCTGAATACTTTCACCTCTCACAACAAAGTGAAATATGCACACAACTTAGCTTTTCGAAGTTTAATGAATTACGCCAGAAAAATAGTACAAAACGTTGGGTGCTTAGGACAGCAAGCAGCAACACACGAAGGGACAATTCTTGTGTTGTAAAAGAACCATATGAAGTATCGAAACCACTCAGCTGGTTTAGGGGTTACACTTTCCTGATGCTATTGGGATGTTTTTTTTTTTTTTTTTTGCCTGAAGTCGTAATAACACAGAGAGAAGGCAAAGAAGTCAAATCCATGCAAAAATACGTAATTATGAGATTACCTGATGACTCATGATCTTTCCGTATGTTTCCACCAAACTTTCAGCATAAAACGGCGCCACACCATACAGCATCTCGTACATGCATATTCCAAGCGACCACCAGTCGCATTCCGCCCCATAGCGTCCGTGGCCATCTTCCATTGCCTTTAAATTACTCTTTTCACTAGGCTCTTTCATCTGTGCTTCTCTTAGTCGACGCTATTCATGATGGAGGCAGCAGGAGACAGCGGAACTGAGAGCGATGACTGAGCTCACGTGCGGAAAACCGTGAGATTTCTTTTAGCAGCCGCAACAATGACCGGAACTGCATTGAATTTCCAGTAAAACTTTCGTAAATCCTTTCAAGTTTGACTGTCCAAGTTATCTTTCTCTCTTTTTTTTAAGAAATTGCTCGCTTCTGCAGTACCAAATGCTAGTTTCTAAACAAAATTAATTTTCTCAGGTGCAAATGCGAAGCCTGCTGCAGCTGCAGAACCAGGGCGCAGAAGGTTCGGAGTTCGACCCGAGAGAAATATTTAAAAGCGTGCTTTTTGAATACGAAGAGGGTCACACACATTACACCGCACATTTCGATGCCTTTTGGCTTGGAGGAAAACGGAGGAGGACCTGATGACGGCTAAGGATGTTTTTTTGGTTGACATTTCGGCGAAGACGAAAGTCGACGTACCGTTTGCTCTCCTCCCCCCCCCCCCCCCCCCCCCCCCCCCCCCCCCCCCCCCCCCCCC